GAATCGTCTTTATGGAACCTCTGACAAATGCGGCTCCAATTTTCTTCTTATCTGCTCTGGGACGCTTTGTCCCACCAGTTGATTGAACTTCTGTATGGATTTGGGTGGCACCTTCTCCGGGGTGAGCTATGTGTTCGGATGCCAAGTCACGTGTTAAACCAGCAAAGTTCTGGTCAGCTGGGGTGAAAGCATGAGTTCCGGTGGCAATAACACCTATGAACATGCCATCCAACTTTTCTTATAATACTGGATCAATGCCGCTAAGTTTGAACTTTTTTGCTGTTGGCACCACTTGGAATACAATATATAAGTCATTAGTAAAAATCTTCAGGAAGATGCAATCAATCCAAAAAAGCAAATATAGGTATGTATTTACCTCTAACTTTTGAGCCCACCATTCTTCAGGTGCATCTATTGTCCGTTTAATTGGATCCCAACCAAATCCTGTTGATCCTATTTTGAGCTCTTTCCATATTTTCCATTCTTTTTTTAATTGATCCCATTTATTTTTAAGTTTCATCAGATTGTAATCCCTCCTGGTGAGTCCTTTGAATTTAACGGTTATATTCTGCCAACCTTTTTTATTGAAAAAAATGGTCGGCCTATTATCGAACTCAACTTCCCTCAGACAAAGATCACAAAAAGTCAACGTGGTTTCTTTATCCCACATTGTCGATGTTCCAGATTTTTTAGATTTACTCATTTTGACTGTGAATTAAACAAGATAGCATGAATATAAATGTGCTCAAGAGAAAAATCGTATGTACAATAAAATTTTTTTTTTGAAGGAAAACATAATAATTATTCTACTATGCCTCATTTGAAGTGAGTCATTTAAACATATAAGCTGCAATTCATACATTTGTATTGCATGTATTGAAGATTGATAATCCTCCCTCACAATAAACCTATGTCCCGAACAAAGTAGGACAAGAATCAACTCAAAGCTGCTAAATAGTGACATCTCCAAAGCACATAAGAATGAGAAGAGAGTTTTAAGATCAAAGGCCTGATTCAACAACCCAAAATTTGATGTCCATACTTATAACATAGTGGTGTCCAAACATTTCTCAACAATTCGATGCCTTTATGATTCCCCGACCAAGTAGTGCAAATGTTCATATTTAAAGGAAAAAGAGGATTTACATACTCAACATTTAAGTTCCTATGCATTTATAGATTTAACAACAACTTCATCATATAGGGGCTAGCATATATGAACAAATGAAAGTTTACGTGTTACATATGTAAATGTATAAGAATTCCATGGCATGCATGAAAATTTCAATCGCAGTAATAACACACCCAAAGAAAGTAATTTACTGTGAAAATTTCATTCATAGTAAATTTTAGTCTGAATCAATTCATACGAATGAAAAATAATTTAATTATCAGCATCTATCCGTAAAACATAGTAATGAGCAGTATCTCTTCATTTCCCTTCAGTGTGACATGCTTAGATCCTACCCATTGGCATTTAATACCTACAAATACGATAGGATGTGCCAAAAACAATGAAATCTAAATATTTGAGGTATGGATATATTATTACTAAATGAAATTTTGGTAAATGAGAAGATCTCTTAGGGATTACAGTGCTCAATGTTGTAGACAATTCTTGTAATACTGCAATTTTCCAAACATAACCAAATAAACATTATATGCTAAAGAAACAATAAAGATTAACATTCAAAGAAGAAACTGCTTTTCCATTGAACTGTAGAAATGTACAGAAACAAGGTGAAGGTCAGAAAATCAAATAGAAAATTACAAGTTTTATCTTTCACAACACAAGAAGGTCGGAAAATCAAATAGAAAATTACGAGTTTTATCTTTCACAACACAGCAAAATAATGACATGAAAAAAAAAAGATATTGAACAAGAATCAAAATTAATAGGAAGACCAAAAGACCTAAAGACCAAATATAACTTAAATAGCATTTGTAATACCAAAAAATGTGAAGTTGTAAACCTTCAATTGCTAATAAACCCATCGACCCCTGCCAAACACAAGAGAAATTTTTATAAGCATTTGCATATAAACCAAACAATTATTATGTATTTACACATCAAAGACCTATAAAAAAGGTAATCAATGATTATATGCAAATTCCTTGACCCTTTAAACAAAATATAGCATAATTGTCAAATTGGGAAGGTTTTAGTTTCCCCAAGGGAAAAAAATAGCAAGCCAAGAGGTTTCAGCTCCATATTCAACTCCACATTCACATCTACAAAGTTGAAATCAGAGATCTACATCACGAGTTCTACATCTACATTTCAGCTCCATATTCAACACCACATTCACATCTACAAAGTTAAAAATAACAGATCTACATCTACAAAGTTGAAATCACAGATCTAGATTTACCCCCACATCAACTCCATATTCAACTCCACATTCACCGAAAGACTACTGGATTTACTCCATATTCACAAATCAACCTTGCATATTCACTGATAGTTTCCACAGAAGAACTGTAAGAAGCGGAGGGAGGACCGGAGGGAGAAACAAAAGAGGAGAAGGATGAGAAGAGCGGAGGGAGGAGCGGAGGGAGGATGCCTTACCTAATGCCTTACCTACGGAGCGACTTCGGCCAAGGAGACGGAGAGGAGCGCCGAACGAACGAAAGAGGAGAGGAGCGACTTCGGCCGAGGGCACCGTGGTAAAACCTAGTATGGAAAACGCGGATTGTGGGGATAGAGGGGCGATCAATGTGTAATATAAAATCAGAAACTCAGTTTTCAAATATGCAGTACAAACACGCGAAACAAACACACAGGCGGCGTTTTCGAAACACCCCACCTAAAAGCTGCCCCAAACGGGTCCTAAATCTCTCTCGAAATTGCTGATCATGATTGTATTATGGTTCTGACCTAAATTTCTCTTAAAATTGTTGCTCATGGTCGTATTATGGTTCTACATACTCCAACTCCATAAAATGCATTGAATCTTCACATTTTTCTTATTCATTGACCTGCAAAAAATCCACATCATTCATTATCCATTTTCGCCCTTTCATACACTATTAAACTTATACATCTACGACTTGTCAAATCTATCCAAACTAGGGTCCCTTGACTTAGTCATTAGCCTTCTCTCATCCTTTAGTCTCTAAATCATTTAAAACTTCATCAAACACTCTAGATCACATTTTAACACATTATTCTAAGTGTTTGTTTGGGATCACTTTCTGTATTCTATTTTTCTTTTTGTTTTTAGATTTTTTTATTTTTTTGTTTTTTCGCATTTTATTTTTAGAAAATGAATTTGGTACTATTATAATTTATATGATTTTAGAAGTAAGAAAATATAAAATATGTTTATAAAGACAAAATATACTTTTTTTTATAAAAAGATCGAGTCCACGTGCACTCTAGTGCCACTCACAACGTATACTACATTTTCCTTGCTTCACATAACACAAAGCATTACTCGTGGTTGGTAGGCAGTGGGCGGCTGGCGGCAGCAATCGACAACCATTGGCTAGTGGCGGGTAGAAGGTGGCGGGCGGCAGACGACGTTTGCTAATAGTTGGCGGGTCAGCTGGCTATGGGCGGCGGCAGGGGGCTAGTAGTGGTGGCTGCGGGTTATGCGACTCCCTGTTTCTCGTGTTTTAAAAATAGAAGAATTTTTTTTTATATTTTGAGTATTTTAAAAATAGAAGTGTTCCTCGAAAAAATAAAAAATAGAAATAAAGCAAAAATAGCAAGATTGGTATTCTTTCCAAGTGTCTAGATTCATTGAACCACCCCATAGGGCGTGCAAGTTGCTTGGAATCTTCCAGAACATCCCAAAATAGGACAAAATCGCTCAAAACCCCACTGTAACCGTTTCTAACGTCTAGGCACCAGTTTTAGGGCCTTAGGAGCCATCTTCTCTGTCATCTGGTGCCTAGGCGCCATCCAGCAGACAACCTCACCATTTTGCCATGTTTCGCTCTGTTTCGCCCCGTTTCAGTTCTGTTTCGCTCCAAATTGTTATACCTACAAGATAAGTATGAAAATAACATTTCCTTAAAGTTTAATTTCATTCAAAAACATGTGATAAATGTAAAGGAGATTAAGCATAGAAAGATATATCAAAATGTGTCAGGTCAGAATTTTCTTCTTTGCTCGTTCTGACTCAAAAGTGCACCGTTTTTGCTTCATTTTCTCCATAAGTCTATTTCTTGTACCCGAAACCAAAAACATGCAAAGTACATTCTCTTAAAGTGTAATATCATTAAAAATGAGTCTAAAATATAAATATGAAAAAGTAGTCATTTTTTAGGCGCGTCGCTTGAGCTGACCTTTTTCTTCAATAAAATAGAGATTTAGAGCATAATAAATATGTCTTTGGTGATTAAGGAAGATTAAGGTGGCCTCTCCTTGAGAAATTGAAGTTGTCTTAAGTTGTAGTTTACTTAAAGAATTTCTCTATGGGAACTTTTAAAGTGGAGAGAAGAAAGATGAAGAGGCAAAATAAAAAACATATAATTAAGTTTAATTATTATATTACAACACCACCTTTCATGTAATTTTATTCCTTCTATTCTCATAACACTTAAAATCATTTATGATTCAACTACTGTAAATAATTATTGATGGTTTATGTTATATAAAATTACATTTTGAATTTAGTCAAGATCACTCTCTTTTATGTAAAGCTTCACTCCTTTGGTAATATTGAAAGCAATACTCATATTTTGGAGAGGCTAAGATAAATATTAAAATTTTTAAGCTGTTATATTTATGTCACTTTTGCTATCTTACACAACAATTTAAGGTTCCAGCATCACTCATTAGTTTCTATACTTATTATACTTCATTTATTGGGATATTTTTCAATTACTTTCAAGTTTGTCTTAGTGATTATTGGTGTTTCTAAGTGATGGAAGGTTACCGAAATTAAGTTCCATAATATTTAATAAACTCATTCGTAATACTTTGTGCTTCTAAATGATGTATGGTATCAAGATGAGATAGAGCCATAACAGTAATGAAAAATAAAGGCCTACATAAAAAATTCCATCAATAAAGCTTCATTCTTCTTGACATCCTAAAGACTTTAATACCTTATAATAAGAAAATATTACATCACTCCTAATGCATTTAGAGTCTAATTATGAGATGTCACGTGTCAAATTGGCTCCATCATTTTTAACACTGATCAATATCGGTATACTGCCGTGGGGCCCGCTTGATACGTGGCAAATCATCGTTGGACTCCGAACGATTCCTGTTGTAATATTTTCACATAAAAGCAACTATTACATAAGGATTTCAAATTCAGAGTCCAATGGTGAAGCGCCACGTGTCAAGTGAGCCCACCGTTTTTAACATTGAGCAATACCAGTGTATTATGGTGAGACTCACTTGACACTTAACACATCACAATTAAACTCTTTAGGAGTGCTCATGTAATATTTTCACATAACTAGAACAAATCAGCACCAGGAGGAAGAGGATTGCGACAGATGGGCAGTAAACAGAGAGGGAACTTCCTCTTCGCCGAAATTCCGAAAGCTTCACTCATGTCTAGGAGCCCCTCTCCTTCTTCTCCCAGATGCTCCCAATCAAAATAGTAAAGCAAATGCGCAAGCGCCATCTCAATCGTCGCCAACCCAAACTGCATTCCTGGACAAATCCTCCTCCCGGCACCGAAAGGTATGAAATCCATATGCCCCCCCTTAAAATCAACGCCACTCTCTTCAAATCTCTCGGGACGAAATACATTCGGCTCATCCCAATTGTCGGGATCTCTTCTCTTCCGATCGCCCAAGCGTTCACCATCACCGTTGTTTTGGCCGAAATCTCATATCCCATCACCTCACAACTCTCCTGATTCTCCCTCGGAAGCAGCAATGGAATCGGAGGGTGCATCCGCAGCGTCTCCTTGATCACCAGATGCAAATAGGGAAGCCTGCCGCTACTCATTACATCTTCTTCGGCGATTAGGGTTGCCATGGGGCGGCCAAATTGGTGCCTAACCTCTCTCTGCGCCCTTCGCATGACGCTTGGATTCCGAATCAGCTCTGACATTGCCCATTCTATTGCTGTGGCTGTTGTCTCTGTTCCGCCCACAAGCAAATCCTGGATTTATGTATGAGTCATGGTTAAATAGCCACAAGCATTTAAATTTCTGATTTAAAATTATATTTTGATGACTGTAATAAATTAATGATGAAGTATAATAATTACTATAATGTTTTCAAAATGATGCTAAGAATTTATTTTGTGGTTCTTTTACTAGAATGCATATCCCAATTTGTATTTTTTCGGAAAATTTATGTGTGCTACAAAATTTTTTTGTATTTACACATGTAATGTATGTAGTTATGACATTTTGGTATGACAAAATTATGCATAGAAATGTAAATTTTTCTTTTAAAATATTAATAATAATGATATTTTTAATGTAATGTTGAAATTTTGATTGTTATTCATGTAATTATATGTATACTTGAATATGGTCTAGATTCAAGGTGTGAAACCTGACATATTACTAAACTGATTAGATGACTCTATTAAATCAACTCAACTAAGAAACTTGACCAAAAAACCCAATTGCAAAGCTCACTTATGACGATCATTTCAAAAATATTTAATCGAGCCAGCCCGACAACTCACCTAGAAAGATCAACTTGAGCCAGCTGATCTCCCTAAGAGATTAAGTTGCCAAAGAATATCAACTTGCCTTATAATCGAGTTGGTTGATTGAAGTGTTACCAAAATGTGAAATCAAAAGTAAAGTGGTTTGTAAGAAATACTAGCCCATGTAAGTTGTTAAAAGGATATTATTAATTATAACACCTACGTTAAAAGAGATTAGATAAGGTAAATCTAAGAACTTTTGGGGCTCATGTGAAATGAATAAATTATGTCTAACATATAAACCAATCATTCTATAAATAAATAGATCATTGTAATCTAGTCTATGGATATTTAGATATTGAAAGATAATTCTTCTCTCTTTCTCCGTTTATATTTTTGTAAATCTTTCTTTATTATTGAAAGATAATTCTTCTCTCTTTCTCCGTTTATTTTTTTGTAAATCTTTCTTTACTAAATTTATTCTCTAGCAGTACGAAACCACAAGAAAATCAGGAAATCACATCCTGAAAATTTTGTGTAGTGTGAAATATAAAACAAATAAGAAGAGGAGTTACACAAAGAGTAGGGCAAATTAATTAGAAAATTTCTACTAACATAGAATGCACAAATGAGTTTATGGTGTGACAAATTAACAAGCTAAAAGAATGGATGATAATAATGATCCAAGAGACCCTAGAGCATGTGTCGAATTTAATGTCATAAATGTAGGTGTCATTTTCCTTGCCAGAATTAGCAACATAAGAGAGAAGAGCACTGATTTCTGGTATAAGAAAAATCTTATAATCTCTTTGATGTGGGCTCCTCCACCTTAGTTGAGGTTTTGAGGTGGCCTCGTTTGGAGAAAACATTCTCAAGTCAATTCACCAAAGCTAAAGCCCCATAAAGATTATTGATTCCTTCTTTGGAATCTTATAAGGATAAATTTGAACAAATTGACCATGCCACCTAGCTCATTCGAATCCGTAGTCAATATGCTTTGAATAAAAGATACTTTGAAGTGTGATTTGTTCTTCATGAATCTAAGGAGATTAATACTATGGGGGTTCATTATCTGGCTATTAAAAGTGATAACGTCCTTTATCGAGTTAAAGTGCATGTTTATAACACAATTTGCTAGTGCCAATAATATATAAAAAACACTCATATGATTATTGCAAAATTTCTAGGAGCTAGGAGAGTTTCTAAAATCCTTGATTAATCGTTTCCACACAAAAAAGGTAGAAGTCAAAGATTTTAAACACATAGTCATGTATGTTGCACTCGAACAAGGATTGATGGGAGACATTTTTGTTATACTTTTAGCTTATCTAGTTGAGTTATTATAAGTGACCCATAACCATATTTTGGTTGAAGAAAAAAACATTTTTCCTGACTCCTCACATGAGCTGCATTCAATAAAGATGAGATATAACATAATTCACCAATGGGAAGGAGGTTGCCTTGTGTAGCATATGATGAGAAAAAAACTTTAAATAGTGTTGACCTAGTTAATTTTGGGAAGCAAGCCCATTTCCAAGAATGTTAAGTCGATCCTATAGAAGGAAAAATCAGTATAAGGAGGTGTGGTTTGATCGTAGTATTAAAAGAGGGTCACCACCCCTATCCACTAATTACATATTTCAACTATTTTCCGAGTTTCAATAGTCAAAGTAGTAAAGATGATATAAAATAAGCCATATTTCCAAAATTCCACACTAAAAACTTGAGATATCAGGTATATCATCATGACCATGGCCATAAGAACCAAAAAAACAGACATCTAAGGAACTTAATCGAGAAATTGATTATGTCTGAAAAGTTTAAGAGATTTATCACACCAAAGGCAAACACTAAGAGACAAAGGAAAATACTTATGAAGGAACATTGAGGCCATCTTTACATAAGCTATCCATATAGTTGGGGTAGTTTTAGCTATTATAGATAGAGATAAGGTAGAGGCATCTCCCCAAACAAGCATTAAACGACTTTGGTTAGGAAAAGGAAACTTGGTGAAGTCATCTCGACAACCTATGAGTGATTGCCTTCCAATCACTCAATTTTTTAGTTGAAGATGTACCAACTGCTAAGAAAATCCCTATAATAACTTTATTGTAGTCACCATGTTGATTACAAACTGCAAGATTGATAGCAACCTTATTGACATGATAAGTTTAGTTAATAAAATTTTCAAAAATGTCCATGACAAGATGAACTTGGGATCTTCCTACTTACTCACAATCTTGAGACCTTTAATTAATTTTTCTAGAGACAAAGGAAACCATGAGGGGCATTTCCATGCTTATTACTTAGAAGAAAATTTATATGATTCACCACCATGGTCGATTTTACTATGGTCAATTTTTCCATGACCTAAAATCCTATCATCAACTATCATCTTCTAAACACTTTTAGGATGGTAGTAAAAACCAATCATGTTGTGGTCAAACTTTAGAGAGAAAGGAAAGTGATCAAAGTCAAAGAAAATCTTGTGCAATCTCACACATACTACTTGCAAGCTATGAGTAGCATTCAAGAGGAGCTTTTATAGCTTGATACATAGAGAGAGAGCTGGTTGAAGAAAAATAAAGTAATATAGGAAGCTACTATTATGGAAGAAGAATTACGAAGGCTATTCATACTTAATAATACCTTGATGCAGGTCAAAAGGTAATATTTAGTATATAAGGAAATATGTTGTCTTAGTTAATAAAGGAGTTTCCTAAGGTTAATAATGACTTTGCTTTTCACTCACTCAATATGGAACTAAGAGTTTAGCCTGTGAAATAAAAAATGAGACAAATTATCATTACTCTCAATGAGCCAATTCACCAAGTATGGAAGTTGTTGAATGTTGAATACATCATAGAAGCTAAATACCTGAATTGAATTGTGAATGTAATAATGATTCCAAAATCAAATGTAAAGTGGCAAATATGCTTAAACTTTGATAACCTAAACTCATCCTTCCTAAAAGATAGTTATTTTCTACCAGATACATGAACCAGTTGACTTTGCAATCAAGTATTTGTTTATGAGCTCCTTGGATGCATTCTCTAGACATCATCATATTATAAATGTACTCTTTCAATTTTAAGAAGGCTACTTTTTAATAAGAGTTGGTATGTATTGTTATAATGTAACGTTCTTTATGCTTCAAAAATAGGCATAACTTAATAAAAAAGTAATGTAAATAATTTTAATATTTAAAAATAAAAATAAAATTGAGATGTGTGTTGATAATATGTTTTACAAAAGTAAATTATTGTACTAAAAAAATAAAAGATGATAAGGTAACCTTTAAAATATTATGGAGATTAAATATGAAATTAAGATCATTTGCAAATTTATAAGTGGGTCAAAAAAATTTTTGGGCTACTTACTAACTAAATTATTTGGTTAACTCACTTCATATCTAATTGGAAATAAATTATTGGACTTCTTCAAAGTTATGAGAAGTGCTAAACACTTCTATTAGATGGAAGCATGCAAATAAGACTTCATTCGAAGAAATAAAAGTTTTGTCATCTCTAATGAATATTTTATTTTATTTTATTTTTCAAGTCTGCTAGAGATCTTGAAATATTTCAATTTATATGTTAAGATGTGTCATTTAAAGAATAATATAATACCACCAGAGATAGTAATATTACATTAAAATGGATCCAACCATTCATACAAGAAAAATCTTTGAGATTTCTAAGTCTACATAATCAATGGCTTTAGCCTACCTCTCAGATGTAAGATACAGTTTATTTAATTCTAGGGTCTTGTATCCCTACAAGGTTAAACCATCATAATTAATTTACATCCTAAGATTTTTGACTCCCTAGAATAATCTTGATTAAAGTATTGTTTTATATCATGAAGGATTATATGATAAATTTCATGAAAATTGATATTTAGGTCCTCGGATTGATAGATTGATTTGAAAGGATTTGATTGTAATTGAAATATTGGGACCTAGATTCTAATAACAACGGGTCATAGAAAGGCCCAGGAAAATGGCTAGCTAACTCTGTGAAAAAGGCATAGCATGAAAATTTAAATTATAAATTTATTGAAAAATTGTTAATTTTTTTATTTGAGAGACTAGATTTAGTTTGAAAGAGTCTGGTGCGATCGAATTGTTTTGAGTTGAAACACTTTGATCTAGAAGTAACTTATTTTTTAAAAAAATTGATTTGAGTTGATTGATTTGAATAAAGTTTGACTTGAGTGATTCCCTTGAGTTTAAAACTTGAGTTGATTTATTTTGATTTAAGCTCATTGATTTTAGTTAAAGAAGGTTAATATTGAACATGATCTGTTGGTTTACATGTTGTTTGAAGGTTTTTAAAGCTTTTTTAGGGTTTTCAAAGTTGATTTATGAAGTTTTGTTAAAGTTTCAAGTTATTAAAGTTTATTTGAAATTATCTAAAGCATGTTTAAAGGGCGAGTTCTTGTTGAAGTTTTATTTGAATAATGTAAGTTTTAAAATTGAACTTAGTGAAATTTGAAAGTTTTGAAAGCTTGAATTTTATAATTTTTTTTGAATTTTAAATGTTTCCGCTTTGAAGTATTAAATTTTATGTTTTTGAACTTTAATGTTTTTGGAGTTTTAAAAGAATTCTTTTAATTTTTAAAAATTTTAAAAGTTCTTGCAAATTTGAGCTTTAAAGGCATTTTAAAAAGTTATAAGTTTTAAAAGGTTTGAGTTTTACAAGTTTTAAAAGATTTAAGTTTTAAAGCATTTGATTTATGCAAATTGGCTCCATTCTTAGACTTAGACTTTGACTTGGACTAGAAGAGTTTTTTTAAATTTAATAGTTTGATTAAGGTGGGATGCTTGATGCTGAAATTTTGATTGAAGTGAAATCCCAAGTTTAAAAATTTAATTGAAGTGGAAATTTGAGGTTGAAAGCTTGATCAAAATGGAACCTACACTAGGAGAAACGATAGATTAAAAAAAATTCTAGATGGAGTGTGGCCCATACTCTAAAATAAATCCAAACTCTATAAGGAGGCTAAATGAGTAAAGTAACCTAATTATTAGGTATAATGACCTAGTCAAGATGCCCTTGGCTTTATATCATTTTAGGTGCATTTTTATCCATAAATTATTAATCAATCGGATAGTAAGAGGTCTCTACTATTATCATAGTGATGATAAATCTAGAATTTCTTACTATGAGGTGGTTTGAGGTGTTTTTTTCAGTAATTATGCTTTACTTCATCCTACAACAATTACATAGTTGAAGGGGTTAAGTATATTTATTTTATATGTCCTATTCCGTTGCACTAGTTAGAGGTACCTAGTAATCTAATATAGACTTCTAGACTGTACTATTCTAGGGCATGTGTGATCTAGAGTTTTATTTCTAAATTGGCTAACCTAGGATTCATAGTGTTGGTAGATTTTGGAGTTGTTTTTTATTCTTAATATTTATATCATGATTTGTTTTAGCTTCATATTTTATCGATCATTGTGAAAATTAGGGTATTTTAGAATCAGGTGTTAGCAGTCGGTTTTCTATCTTAAGTTGGTGTTCTCCTTTGGCTCTCTATCCTAAGTTGGTGTTTTCCTTTATTTTCTTCCTAGGTTTAATTTCTAATGTTCAGTTTATTATTATATGTTGAAGCTTACAAGCTAAATATGTATGTTGTTTATGCCTTTCACACTACCCACTTCAGGCTTTAATTTCATGCAAATGCTTGATTTTTTTTTATGTTTAATTTTTAAAAATATAAAAATGTATTTTTTTTTTTAAAATATATTCTTTGTCACATAAAGATAACATTTAGGAATGTGAATGATCTTAATATAAGAAATATCTAAAGTGTGGAATTACCCAAAACTTGTATTTTTAGGAGTTAAGCTTTTAAATCACCATTTATGAACAGAACTCATTCATCTTTTAAATGAAAATTGAAATGAATTAAAAAAAAATATATATCCATCGATGTTATTTTTAATTTTTATATAACATCGATGTTATCTTTTCATATAGAGACAAAAGTTAGATCAGCTGATGAAGAAATTGGAGTTTAGTAGCGTACGTTGATGATAGCCTTGATGTGGTCGTCGGTGATGGGGAACTGAAGGCTTCCGTCCTCTTGGATTCTGAGCAGAACGTCTGTGATGTCCTCCTCTTCCACCAATTGCTTCTTCCGCTTCTTTCTGTGCTCCTCTATGATTTCTTTGTTTATGTGGTCTAGCTTAAGCTGGCACTGCTGCAACTTGCGTTGAAAGCCTGGAATCACTTCAATATTTTTAAAAAACAGACTCATAGTTCATCTTTTATATATATATATATATATAGACACACACACATATATGCCGTCCATCCTTTAATATATATATATATATAATATATGCATATTTATATGTCTAGTACCTAAACTTGTATGGTTGAATGCGCAACACTCAAATATTTAATTTTAAATCAATAATACAACAATTACAAAATTTTTAGAATTGAAGTAGATATTTTCACGTTAGATTTATGACACTAATTATAAACGTGGAACATATAAAATTCGGCCTTCATAAAGTGAAAATTTCTTTCAAAATTGTTCATAAAACCTAAATTTCAGCATTTTTCGATCTCATGGATCATTTTTTAAGCATCATAAGATCAAATTTTTTGACAATTTGAAATTTATTTCCAACGTCTTTGACAATTACGTCTGCATAAAAGTGGACAACTGATACATCGTTAACAATTTTTCATCATTTTTCACGGATTTCTAGGTATGACACAAATCTCAAGATAATTTTTGAGGAAGAGAATATTAAAACTTTAATTAAAAATTATCATGTACTTCGATTTTAGTCAACTTACAATCAGACAAATACAATGTCGAAAAAATTTGTCCAAATATTTTTAGTGCCCCAATTGGAAGGTCAAATGAATTTTAAATCGGATTAGCTTATATTCATATTGGGCAGCTCGACGAAAAAACTCTAACAAGTCTAGGAACACTCAATTATGATATCACTAAGACACTAAATGTCTTTGAAATGCTTTTTGAGGATCTCTTTAAGCCATCTGATGAAATGGTCCAATATTTTTTCATATTTAACAGGAGACCTCTTCTAGACATTATAAATAGAGCCTTAACACCTAAATGAAAAAGAGAGGAAAGGCAATAAAATGAACCAAAGGAAAACTGATGTTTAGAGAAGGAGTTGAACCCTCCCATAATTGATACAAAAGGTTCAATAAACACCACCCACTTTTGCTGCTGACACTATTAACCATCATCAACTACCATTCGCTGCTTATGACGAATTCCCTTGCAGTGTCACAACGTGAGTTACAGAAATTCGGCATATGTTGCAGAACAGTGAAACCCCAAACGAAGCAATATGTACGTCGTGCAATGAACCCAAATACGATGCAATGACTTACTTTGCATATGGTGCAATGACACATTCTAAAGAGAGTGTAAAAATGCATCTTAAAATGATGTAATGATGCATCCCAAAGATGGTGTAGCAATACACCTTGCATACGGTACAACGATGCACTCCGAAGATGTTTTAACAAAACATCTTACATATGGTGCAACAGTTTATACCGAAGACGGTGTAATGACGCATCTTGATGACGGTATAACAACACACCCTAACTACAAAGCACAGATGCACCTCACAACAACTGCTTACAACTATCGTACTCATAATACAATAAATTTCTCTGCATTCCTCACAGCTCACTACTCCAGACTGTGGTAAGCAAATCATGCAGCTCCCAACTCCGACCTTTGAGCCTAAAAGTGTTATCATAGCTCACCAATATGCCTTACATGACCAACAATGACCTATGTGGTTCACCGCTTATGCAACTCCCAACTCCAGACTCTGTGACATACGAACATTATCACAGCTCACTACTATGACTTATGTAACCAACTACGTCCTATATGGCTCAGTTACTGCAACTCCCTACGACAGCCTCTGTAGCCAATTAATGCTTCTGAAGCAATCATTTATGGACCACATTCACAGTAGACTATTGCCTCCAAATCAATTGACAATGATCTTTGTCACCCGCTAATGTTATTATTTCCTAAACACCATTATACATCAACAATGTAATTTCATGTTTCCTAACTCAGGCGAAGAGTCTCACAATTATATATTGACAACTTCAAATAGGCTAGACCTATTTCAATCTTTTATAGAGTTATATATATATATATTAAGGTGTCTCTTTTTGCTTACTTCATTTTAATTATCAGAGTGCATACAAATTTTTAGTGCAATAATAAATATTAAATAATTACTCTATCCTCATGAAATTTGGATTTAAGAATATTGCAAAATCATTTAAGCATATTTATTCACTTTAAAAAATAGGACTTCTGAAATAATTTTGTGCTAAATATTGCGAAGCAGTATTTTCCCATCAATCATTAATTCAAACACAATCGTACCTGTGATGTGACTAATGAACGGCATTGACGGGAAGAGATCGACCACACAGAAGCCAGAAATCAACTCCACAACCTCGCCAAGAGCAGCCTGGAACAATTTCTGGTCTGCTGTCTTTCCGCCTACAGAAGCCCTAGCTGTGATACTATTACTGAGCTGCAAAAACAACCCACTGAGGTTGACGGTGGCCCCTTCTGCTGCAGAGGCCGCAATAAATTTGATCAAATTTGAGATCTCATCTTTTCTTATATGCCGAAAGGAGCGCACACGCTTCACGCTGAAAAGCTCCAAGAGACAAAGGCGACGCATCTGACGCCAGAAATCACCGTAGGGGGCGAAGGCAATGTCCTTACCACCATAGCAGATGGCATTTATTGATGAATTGATGGGGCGGGTGGCGAAGATAGTGTCATGGGTCTTCATTATCTCTTTGGCAACGACAGAGGAGGAGACGACGACGGCGCGAATCTCACCCAGCTTTAGGGACATGATGGGGCCGTGGATGGCGGAGAGACAGTGAATGGTTTGATGAGGGGGTTGTTGTCCGAGGAGATGGTGCAGACCACCAATGACGGGGAGATTCCATGGGCCTGGGAGGGGTTGTTTGGCTTGAGACTTGGGTTTTTTAAGAAAGATGGTTAGGAGTAAGAAGATGAGTGGGATGATGATGATATGAAGCTCCATTGTTGGCACACTATGATTACTGTTATATATCTATATATATTCCGGTAAACAGTAGTAACTCTGATTGTAGAGGAAACAATATCATAATCTCAAAACTGTGTTGATTGTGACATTATTTCTTCTTTGTAGTCGTATTAAATATTATCCTTGAGTGAAGTGGCATGATTAACAAAATTTATTTCGGGAAATGTTGTATTTAGCTTTGTCACTTTGTAAGTGTTTTGGTTCTCAATTTAGACATTGTGACATGTTTAAATTTGAATATATGGTCTTTATTATGACAAATGTCGATATTGCATGGTTCCTCACCGTCATCTACAAGCCATTATTTCATGCGGACAGCGGATGTAAAGAAATTTTTTTTTTTTAAAAAGAAAAATTAAAATCGGGCCCCATTGACATACACTTTTGGCAGGGGAACGATTTTAATTGGTTCACTGTACGCATTTCTGTGTTTCACCGTATGTATTTCTGCGTAAGATGAACGTACCTAATAATTTTTCGTCATCTACGGCGTGACTTCCGTGTGTTTCACCGTATGTATTTCTGCGTAAGATGAACGAACCTAATAATTTTTCGTCATCTACGGCGTGACTTCCGTTATGCTTTTTCTTTTTAAATTTATAGCATAAAGGATTAGGTATGATTTAAGTTATTAATGTAGATAAAATATTTAATAAAAACGTATATAAAATGATATTAATTGCAGACGGGACACATAATACGTTGGATAATATTTCCTTGATGATGATGGTCTATGAGTATATGATGATAAGGATTATGATTGTTGCATGTTTGATTTTGTATGATTACAGGCAAATTTTAAAATCCAAACAATGAACATTAATTACGTACACAGATATGGTAATAGAATATTGGTAAATTTACATAGATACCATCCAGTTCTGATGCATTAACATCCCTAGCACCTGAACTTCAATTATTACATAGACCACCTTCCCTATGCAAGAAAATGTGTATTTCAATGTTTGAGGGTGCATAGAATTAATTTATTTCCCTAAAATAAATTAATTTTATCTCACATTTCCGAATCACTTATCCCAAAACTTGATCAAGATCTTCCTTCATGAGAGATACAGAGCCTCGTATCTACTCATAATGACCTCCATGATACGAATGACAAGATGCCTGAAGGGATAGAACCTAAAATACAAATATATTATTTTTTTTATATTTTTTAAAAAAATACAAATTTTTATAAAATCGGGTTACTCATGAATCTCCCTTTGGCTCAATGTATAAGCGTATGAAGGTGTCTTTGTTTGAAGGGTTGGGAGTAAATGGACTTGGCTTATTCAAAGAGGGCTACGATGGCACTGTGCTTGGGACTGAAGATGTGGGATCAATTGGCTGGTACGAGCAGGAAGCCATATATGAGCAACAACACTAATATAGCACCAGGCCTATACACCTAATAGAACCTCCAGGCCTCATGGGCACTAGTGTTATGGTTATAGTGCTCATCAACATAGCACCACTGGAATGTGAAGGGGAGTGTGAAACAACCTGCTTTTTTCTCTAATATGCTACACTAGACTAAATCAGTTTATGATGTGGCTGCTCTCCCATCCCACATGAAGCCATCAATAATAATAAGAAAGAAATTGATTAGAATAACTATAGGTAAAAAATAATATAAGTTCTAAAACAGTATAAAATGACACACCATATGTAAAAGCACAAAAAATAAAATAGGAAAATATAGAATTAAGAAAAAAAATAACGTAACTAAGTACAAATATGACACATTAGAAGTAAACTTATAAAAAGTAAAATAGGGAGATGTAGAAAAGACGATGCTCATAATAGCAGCTAATACTATAAGAAGTAAAAGTAGAAAGAACTACTTCTTAACAAATGTCGTAGTAGCTGACCTAACTATTAAAGTGGGTATTTTCACTAACACAAATGCAAAAATTATGTCTTTCTCTCTCCATATCAAGAACTCCTGAGAAATCTATAATCACTCACATCAAATATATTTGATGTAGTAACATAGTGATTAGCAATCAAGATCTATTAAGCCTTGATTTGTAACTTTATTTCTCTAGTTATGAATTGTTGACATCATTTTTGAATGAAGACTGTCCTCTCTCTAAGAGCCTAGTAACTAGCCTTAAGATTTTCCTAGTAACTCTCTTAAAAGACTAGTGATTAGAACAAAACCAATATAGAATTCCAAACAAATCTTCACTCCTTAGGGCTTCATATGCTAGACCCCAAATCTTTAACCCTTTGTTAGTGGAATTAAGGTTTAGTCATTAGAGACTAAGTTGAGTTCCCCATAAGGTGGAATGACTGTAAGAGACACTTTAACCTAAAGTCTTATGTTTTTCATTTTTCTAGCTTACTTTGCAACCCCGAGACATGATGTCCTTTTCTTTAGTTTAGAAGGTAGCCCATTGGGTATGAGGTTCATTTTAGACCAAGGTAAGATTTATCTCTTAATGGGAACCCTAAAATTAAGATCCTATAAATCATCAAAGTTGAAGCAAAAGAAAATTAAAGTCATAAAAAATTAACCCAAAGAAAAATTAAAGTCATCAAAATTGAAACTTAAAACTTATCGAAATCCCCAAAATCTCCAAGTAAGAAATTAAATTAAAGCAAAATACACCCAAACCAAAGTTAAAAATCAACCATCATTAAAATTTTAAAATTAAAACTCAAAAACATATAAAAACCAACCAAAGCCATACATTTAAATAAAGCTAAAATTAAACTAATTTAAATCCAAATAAATTAAAACAAAGAAAATTTTGATTAAGGAAAATTAAGTCATCCATTAAGCAAATTAACATAAGAAAATTTAAAATCATAGACACCCAAAATTCCCAAAATAAATCAAATAATAAATTCTAATTATCATGTAAAGATCACATAAATTTCATCTCACCAAATAAGCCCAAAATTAAATTAAATTCAAGTAAAAAAATATCAGGCTCCAAAATCCACTTGACTAAACTATGGGTTCTCCTGGTAAGAACCATAAAAAGAACTTGGTAGATTCCTCAAGGGAAAGCTTAACGAAAGATGCAGATTAAACGAGATAATTTGGTCATCCCACCTTGCATACCCCTTTTTCTTGAATGTATGTCCCTCAACATTTCTCCTTATTGGTGTAGATATTTTAGGCACCGTGCCTCAATCAATTTTCCGGTTGGATATCGGTCCCTCAAGTGGACTGACAATGCGAGAGGATAGCTTGATGAAACCGGCCAGACAGAGTACCCGACATAATTATGTTGGGCCTCGTGCATAGTCACAACGAACCTCAGTTTATGACACTATGAATAGTGGTCTGACCACTCCCAAGCCTGGTGTGGCCAAGCCACTGGAACTTATTCCACATTGACATCTGGTCCACAGATTCTCATCAGTGAGGCAGCCACAATGTGTGGTCCATCTACTTTATCTGGTATTTCACCCAAATTCATATTAATAGAGCCTCCACACTAAGGATTTATTAGATAAGTGCATCATTATGCATATCCTGAGGAGATATCCTGTGCTTCTCCAACCCTGCTGACCTAAGATAGATTTTTACGTAAGTGATTGTCAGTGTGTTTAGGGTGTTAATGACTTCCTTGACCTAGGCGGGGAGTAAGTTGTTTATGGAAGCATTCTCAGCTTTACAGCTAGACCTCTCTTCTCTTTTCACTCCAGCGACAACCTCAAAACATTGGCAAGTATAAATCCAACCTATTCCACATTAAAGTTTCTATCACTTGACCCTAAGGCTACCGAGATCCTCAAGAATGATGCAATTCACGGATTGTTGACAAGTGGTCTTTAGTTTTTTGGGTCAACTAAACTGCTGACCAGGTAGATATGGAGTCCTAATAGCTTGAGATGATATTCTATAGTGACCTGATCTCGTTATCTTTACCCAATTAAGATCACTCTATCGTTCCTTTCCTGCCCTCTTAGATCCCTGTCACTCCTTTGATGCTTTGTCAATGTTGTCTTGTATTCCATGATTGTAGATAGGCTGCCACCTATTTGGGGTATGATGATTAACCCTTTACCCTTATCATCACGTCTGACTTTAGAAGCATATTGTAGACATTCTAGGACTTCTTGATTATTTCATAGACCTTGATTGTTGATGAGTCGTCACCCACTTGGGATGTGAGAGACTTACACTCTACCATGTGACTTAGCAAAAACATTGAAAGCTTCGAGATTTTACTATGGAATAGTCATCCTTTGTGACAACCTATACTGATCATCAACCTAAATGTAAATAGGACTCCTCTACTTGAGAGTATTCTAGGGCGCTCTCCACGATGCAATTAGCAAAGGGGATACATTCTCTTGGGAGTTTTTCATGACCTTAGAACAAGCATATTCACTTGAATCTTTGATTGTGAGTTGCTTTTATTGAGTATCTTTGATCTGATCTCATTTCAGATGTATGCTTTTAGGCTGGAATGCAAAGATTACCTTAAGAAAGTTCTCTAGGTTCTTTCGCTTGTTTTTCTTGATTGTCATCTGTCTTCACTTTCTGATTCCTCCTATCTCCTTATCATCATTAAGATCCAGAAGAGAGATTTACTCTAAAAAGAAAATCATATGATGATAGACAAATTGGTGATTCCTTCAAAAAATAAATAAGAGAAAAAGAAGAAAAATAATGCAGAGGGTTGACCAACTCCCATTATTGAGATGTTGATCACAATGTTCTATGCAAGAATAATCACATATCATAAATAAAGAAAGAAATAAACCAACCAAGTCTACAAAAAATAGAATTCCTTACACTAATCATTCACTCCATCTCATATGAGCAGAGGCTCTCTTCAACAAGAGGTTGAACAACAGGCTAATTGGATCTGAGTCTCAATAAATATCTATATTAGTTGTTAAGTCAATCTTTGATGGATCATATCTTGAAGAAGGACTATTGCACCAAAGATGTTCATGTCAGACCTGTTACATATCTCATTGAGTCTCAACGAGTCAGAAAACTTGAACATATCCTTCACTCATTATTTCTTCTGTAATACGTGCTTAAACAGCTTTGTTTCATTTGGTCGAGTTCCTTCTCCATGCCTATTTGATTCAATTTGCCTTCTTTTTCCCTCTAATGTCTTTCCCACTGGTCGACCGTCATCCACGGGCTTCTTCTTTATCA